TAATATAAATCTTAAAATATATATAATTAAATGGGTAAAATGATTTAAACTGCCCAGCCGACAGAGAAAATCGCATGAAAATGATGGGCCTCACTCAATGCCAGCTGCTAATTTGACTTTGCACAACTAAGCACAAGCAAAATCATATTCTTTCATCCATTTCTCAGACATACTCTGGCCTCTTCTGTGTGGCCGTCAACCCCTATCGGCGCTTCCCCATCTACACGGCTCAAGTGGCCATGAAGTACAAGGGCAAGCGACGCGCCGAGATGCCGCCGCATATCTTCTCCATTTCTGACAACGCCTATCATAACATGCTGCAGGGTGAGTACAAGTATGCATTCCGATGTAGCAATTCAATGCTTGTGTCTTACCGGTACTTTGCTATCTTCGAGACGAGAAAAACAGCAATTTCTGTATTAAAGCCATAATTTATTCTATGAAGTTGATCGGTTCTGTCAGAGGATCGTGGACACATAGGCAGATTCAAAATCACTTGAGAATGGCATGATCGGTATCACCAGGACATGAGTATTTAGTAGTAAACAAAAAAACAAACAAGTGATATGCCTACCGAATTTACCCTCTTAGAATGGACAGGGTTGGGATTTAATTTTGAAGCACTCATGTCAAAACGGATGAAGCAATTTGAGTATAAAATAGTGTTAGACTCACGAAAACGTCCCAGTGATACATTTATCTGGTCATTTTCTTTCACTATAGCGTCTACTCTACTAAAGACTGTCTCCAAGGAGGTACAAGTTTCCGCCATTCCCATTTCGGACATAAAAATGGGTGATTTTGATTCTTCTTGAAGCGGCGATGTTTGACCAAACTTCTTGCCCCTTTGCGGATTTGTTTTTCGTGTCATTTAAACACTCTTTAAGCTAGCTTTGAACCGAGAGCTTCAAACTATACCATATAAAGGGAAAAAAGTTATCTAAAGAATATGTTACATGACAAACATGCCCGAAACGTGCGGAAAGGCAAGACTTATTAATAATAATTACTAAATTAACTCTAATATTAATTGCTAATAATAACGATATAGTTATTAATTAATATAAATTAATAACTGAACCGACTCTCAGTCCTTAGATCACTTATAGCGACTTTGGAGATCATAGTTCATAATCAAGAATTATTGATAGACTCGTAACATACTTAATGTGAGTACTGGTATGTCGTGGTGATTGGGAGCAATTTGCCCCATCAAAATATAATACTATTTAAAATATTAATTAATATAAATTAATAACCAAGAAATTCGATTATATATTTGTTTTATAATTAGACACAACAGTTGCAATAGTTAATTTTCAAATAGTGTCAAGTCAAGTAGCGCAATTTTTTTTTCTTGTCCCTACAGATCGTGAGAATCAATCCGTACTGATTACGTAAGTCCCATTCTTTATCTTCACATTAAAAGGTACAGAGTTCAGTTGAATAGACATAGTCATATTAGCCACTTTGAGGTGCATTAAATGCATTAAATGCCTGCAATTCTCGGCTTATCTGTTATCATAAAATCACCGAAATTGCAAAGAATTGAGCAATTATGAAGGAGCTCAAGTCTTGAGTTAAACATTTTATATGCCCAGATTGAGTTAAAATAATCATGCTCAGTTTATTTGCATTAGTAATTGCTTTATAGACTGGCCTTTCTTTCAATGAAACCATGCTCCTGTGAGATGGCCACATTTAGGCATGCTAGTTGCCACCTAGCAACTGTGTCTTTTTGGTGCATTTTTGGCGTTTTGATTGTATTCATTCCTTCATAACTGTGAAAAGTTCCCTCACACTTTAATGTTGATTCTCATCTCTCTTTAACTTTTAAATGCAGAGGAGAGAGCGGTGCTGGGAAAACTGAGAACACGAAAAAAGTGATCTCCTATTTCGCAATTGTAGCAGCAGCCACGGCAAAGAAGGACGAGGACGAAAAAAAGGCAAGTCTTCTAACCAGAAGTGATATCATGTCATGTTGATGGTTGGAAGTT